CTATTCTGATAGAATGAGAGCAAAGTGTTTTTGGGCATAAAAATCAATAGTTTCCCATAAAACTAAGTTGTCTAGTAATCCTCCGTGCCAGTGACACTGACACTGCTTCTCAGGCTCCTGGCGGCTCCCGTTCTGGGATGGAATTTGAGGGTGAGCTTGTCTTCCCCTCATGCTGTCAGCCCAGGAATAACCAAGCCAATTGTTAACTTTTACAATAAATAGTTCCTTTAAAAGCTTTGTCTGAAATTCTGGCCAGTGTTGTGAACTCCTTGCCCTCCATCCTGACCTTTCCAGGAAGATAGGCCTGTGTTCCCCATGCCTCACCTTCCACCCTGTACCACTCTCTTCTTGGTACAGTGTTTTCATACCCAGCCTGCCAAGCAGCCCACGAGGTCTGGAGAAGAGGTGATAAATTAAAGGAACTTGAAAACCAACTCTTTAACACTTCAGAGCCTGTCTGAATCCTGTTCACACTGAATTATGTCCATGTTCGCCTTTGCAAAGCAGATGTAAATATATGTGTGGTCAAGCAGGAGTTCAAGGTGGCAGTGAGCCATGATCATGGCCCTACCATCCAGCCTGGGGAGTGAAGCAAGACCCTATCTCAAAAAAATACAATTCTTACTGTAATAATTCAGAAATAATCGAAGTAAAATTAATAACCTCCTGGCCCTCATCCTCTGTGGTTTCTTCTCTTAGTTACAATTTGCAAATGACAGTTGGGTGTGTATCCTTCCAGACTTGTTCCGGTGCTTATGCAAATACATTTTATACACGTACATACACATAAGTGCACACACAGAATTGTGTGTATGTACATTATATACACTGTGTGTGCTAAATGGGATCATTGTTGTATACTCAACAACTTGCGTTTTTCACTTAGAAGTAGATAAAGGGACTTCCCTCCAAATCTGTACTTTTCAGCCTTATCAAATCTTTATTACTTGCACAGAATTCTGTGGCATGACTATACTATATTTTCAGCCAACACTTGTCTCTGTTAGGGAAGATTCAGGCTGTTTCCAGTTTTCTGGTTTTCTGTGAATAAATATTTTGCTCAGAGAAACTTCCTTGTCATGTATCTGTATGTATTTCTGTTGGATAAAGCCCAGCGTGTGCCACATTTAAAATTTTTTAAATGCTGCCGTAGTACTTTTTTTTAAAGTTTATTTTAGTACTTTACAATCCTATCAACGAATCATTTCTACTGAGATAACATTTAAACTATTATGGTAATTAAAGCCTTTCGCTATATCTGTGCTTTTCTGGGACCTTTTCTGAGACCTTCTCAAGTTGATTGCATTTACATTTTTGTTATTTGAAAAAAAGAAATCTCCTTTTACCACCAGGTTAGCTGTACTGATTACAGTCACTTAATTGCATATTCACTTAATTGTTGCTTATATTCAGTTAATCAGTTAGAACTGAAATGCCATTTAGGTAAATGTGAGTGACTCAGATGTCCTCTTTCTGCCAGAGTCACCCCCAAACCTCCAGTAAGTCATGAGTTTACTCCTGAAACGAACCCACAGAGTCTGTTAAAACCTACGGACATTTGAGAAGTTGCTCAGCAGCTACTCGACTGTTCTGTACTGAGGCTATAAAAGTGATGAGTAGCTGAGCTCTTGGAGGGTCTGGAAAGTCTAAACATTTGGTAAATGTGTAAGATGTGGCACTGTTCCTATAACTCAAAATCTCTGGGGAGTTTTATGCAATTTGTTTAATAAGAGAAAAACAAACAGATTTATAAAATAATATAATTTGTAAAACGTAGGTTAATGTTCACTCTCCCTATTCAAATTACAAAGACATCTTAGTTGAGGATGTTGACCGTGATTTGGGGAATTAACCATACTCGTATGTACACCCCTGTTGCTAACAGACATCAGTCCCAAAGAATGTGCCAAAAATATGCTTTGACGCAGTAATTCTGTTCTGAGAAATTAATAAGAGTGAAAAAATTTAAAACAGCCTAATGAAAAAAGTAGGGTAAAAGTTTAAAAATATATAGGAAACTAGAGTATTGAGCCATAAAGATCATATGGGTAGACAGCGTTAATGACACGGAGAAAGAGTCACTTATGATAAGACAAACAAGCTTCCAAAATGGGATGGTATCTCCTGGATCGCTCCTATGAGACGTTGAGATCTTCCATGGCCAAATTAGCTGAGAAGGGCTCAGCTGATGAGAATTAAGCTTTTGACTGGGCTCAGCGCCTGTGGCTAAAGCGGCTAAGGCACCAGCCACATACACCTAAGGTGGCGGGTTCGAATCCCCAGCCCGGGACCGCCAAACA